CCATTTCATTAGAAAGAAAGTGGTTACAAAGTGTGTGTTCACAAAACATAGAATACATAAGCAAATAACAAAACAAGACTTGAAGCTATACTGCACCATCTTCTGAATTCCCAGAGCGAGTACCTATCTACTAGTTTCCTGAGAATACAAGTTATTTTGAAAGTGTAGATCAGCATTTAAGCTGGTGAGTTCATAAGATTTTAGTGATGTAAGAAGTTGTAAGAAAGTTGTGGTAAGTTATAAGTTCTGTTTAGAAAAGTTCGCCTGTTCCTCCAGAAAATCCTATATTTCCTGATTTGATGAAAGATAAGTAAAAATGACTCTACAATCCTTTCTATGAGTACTAAATGGATACAAGTTATATAAAACTCAGAGTAAACAAACAATCGATTGTGCGCATCTGCCTTAAGCCCACAACCAAACAAGGAACAGGAAGTAAGGGGGATAGCACGCATCCCATTGTTTGTTAGATCATTGTTGTATATAACCCTGGCGTATTCACTTGTTACTCACGGAGTTAATTGTAATAGTTCCTTTATATTTAATGAAAAGATCCTTTAAGAAAACACTTATTTCTTATAATAAAATAGTGACAACAGTGGTTCCTTCTATAATCACTTAGTTTATACTAGCTATATATAATCTAATATCGAACAGATAGTTAGTTGTATGAATCTGCCCTAAGCCCACAACCAAACAAGGAATAGGGAATGAGGCGGAAGGCACACATCCAACTACCTATCGGGTATTAATTATATATAACCCTGATGTATAAACTAAGGTATTATAGAGTTAACCACCTAAGGTCCTTTATGTTTATACTTGGTTTAATAAAATGGATTAAACCCTTTACTGGTAAGTTTCTAGTGTTGTACACCAAATGTTCTATTTGAAAAGTATGTTTTGTACTAGAAAACTATGCATTGAATTAGTGTCCTATGACATGCCAAAAATTTGATCGAAAGATCAAAAATAAGTGTTACGCCGCATCGCTAAAATAATCATTGTCTTCAAAATTTCGCAAATCCAAACTCGAGCAGTCATAAGATCTGAACCGGATGCAAACACAAATGAGACATCCCAAAGTGTAGAGTATGAAGATAAATAATCATAATCTGAAGAACATCTAATAGTGCCAAAAATTCGATCTGTGAAGATCAAAAATCAGTGCCACATCACACTACTAAATCAATCTCCGTCTTCAAATGTCTCTAAAATCAAAACTCCAATAATGAACCAGAATGGATGCTTATGATTCTCCCCCTATTTTTGATCAACCATGCAATAAAGATAAAAAATAATCATGGAACTGGGCAAGAGAATATATCGGATATGATGGAGCATCGCACGCTCCCCCTTGATATGAGCATCTACCCGTAAAAACGAGGATATTATTCTCGGTCATAGGTAGACTTTGGTGATGTATTGCCCAAATGAACTAACACTGTAGAATATATATCATAAAACCCGCTGCTGAAGAATCATAATGCTAAACTGAAGTGATGCTGAAAACCGAAATGCAAATCCGAACTCCCAAATAATGGTCTGAGACCATATATAAAGAGTTCAAAGGGAGTAAAAATGCTAATCTCAGAATGATCAATCTCTGAAGCACATAAATATGAGGTGGCAAATGCGAGTTGCTCGGTAGAGGTGAGACACAAATAATAATCTTTGAAACAACTGTATTGTCACTCATAATCAGCAAGAAGAATGAAGCCTTGAACTATGGGGCTAAAATTGGTTTTTAAAAAATGGTTTTAATAAAATAATTGGTATTCAAAAAAATGGGTTTAAATAAAATAAAATAACTTTACAAAAATATTAATTGGTTTTAAGAAAAATAGGATAAACAAAAATAAATAAATAAAAGGACGAACTCATGTGAATCCAAAATAATCAAATCCAAGAGAAACAAGGAAATACTTATGTGTAATCAGATTGACATATTTTCGATGAAATAGGATTAAACTAACAAAATATAAAATTGGATACATATGGTTTGGATCCTATGAATCTGAAGTGGTATCCGAGCTTGAGTGGTTGTCCTTTGAATCCATAAGATCAGATTATAGTTGGTTTCAAGTTACCTTGGTATTTCAACCATTTCTTTGTTCAGGATAAAAGTTCTTCTATATACCACTTCTGCTCAAGATATCTTAACATCAATGGTTGCTTCAAATACTTAACAAATGTATTCAATGCAAATCGCAAATAGCGTAGGTTGCCCCACACGTGCCCTACTGCTAGTTGTGGAAGAATATGATCACTGGAAAGTTATAATGGGAAGATTTTTACTGGCTAAAGAGAATGGTGAAGCTATCTAGAGATCCGTCAAAGAAGGTCTTCATGTTCCTGTTAGAACAACTTTTAGAGATCCTGCTGCTCAAATGATGGGTCAAGATCAACAACGCCCAACTCCTCTCACTGCTAACGATATTGAGAAGTTGCATGCCGATCAAGTGGCATTCTCTGAAATGGTGTTTGGTGTCCCACCATTTCTCTTTGAACACATTAAGTTGTGTAAATCTGCCAAAGAGATTTGGGATACTTTTCAAGATCTGATAGAAGGATCGGAAAATATGAAAGACAAGCGTCTGACATCTGTTGTCAACGAATTTGACAACTTCACAACCACTCCTGGTGAATCAGTGGCATCAGCCTCCAATCGCTACCGAATTGTAGTCAACAACATGACGGCTCATGGGATTGTCCAAACTCCTTTGGAGTACAATCTGAAGTTCATAAATAGTCTCGGTAAAGGATGGGGAAATGTGAAATCTTGTCTTCAAAGCAATGGTTCTTTGAAATATTCTTTAGCTAAACCCCGACCAATATTGTTAATATTAAGTGAGAATTTTAGTTATGTATATCTCTCTATGGGGTTGACACCCCCCACCTGCAGTTGCTAGCTACAACCATGGTGGTCAAGTAACAACAATGATAAGTGTTTAAACTTTTACGATGTCTGATGAAGCGTCGTGCGGGGCACAATCTTTTATAAAAAA